GAAGAAGGTGGGGCTTTAGTGGGAGAAGAAGAGATGTGAAGGACTGGAGGAAGGCAGAAGTGGAATAGGTGAGAACACAAGTGATGTTCAGACAGAACATTTGCTGGGGAGGAAATAATCTACCCACCATGGATGGGGCCTTCAGATTTTACAGGTCTGGGGACTCTTCAGAGGCATTTTCCCCCAGGGCAGGCACCCTTCACCTTATGGAAACTGCCCTGGAGGGACGGGTGCTGGGCTTGAGCTTTTGGGACTGAATGAGGCTGTAAAAAGGCAAAAGACTTCCAGGTTTAACTTCTACCTGGGCAAAATGGAAGAAGAGAGAAAAGTCTGCAGAGGAGAACAGGTCTCTGGTGGGTTCTTAGCTGCAAGGGGACCAGCCTTTCTTGAGCCTTGCAGCACAGCAGACATTTTGTGGCCAGAGCTGGTCACATTGCTCAGACAAGCAGCTGTTGGGCTGAAAAATGCAGAATTTGGGTGTAAATTGCTCTGCCCTGGTTTGCAGGTGCATCAGCTCTTAAGTTCCCTGTTTGTGGGGTCTTGCCAATGGAAGCATGAGGTGATTGACATGAAGCATCCTGGCCAGGCTGTGCCCAGTAGGTTTGGGTCTCTGCTCTGTACCAGTCCCACCTTTGGGATGAAGCTGCAGGTCATGCAGCATCATGCCTTTTGCTGCTAGTGGACCTTGTCTCTAGAAAACTCATGGACTCCAAATCTCCCCCCAGTCCCTCTCCAAACACAGCTCAGGGAGCAGATAGAGCAGCACCAGTCTAGTTCCCAGCTCAAATCCTTTTTTTTTTTCTTTTTCTTTTTTCCTCAGCAGTGGTTAACTTTTTACACACAAAAGTCTTTAACCATTAACAGGCAATAAAAAGGGAAACTGAATTGGATAACATCCACTAATCCCCTTCCTGGATGAGCTGGAAAGGAGAGACACTGCAATGCTCAGGAGCTTATTTAGAGATGAGTGCTTTGGAGGCTTTGAGAATTGCACAGTGTTGGTATTTCATGAATAAATAACCCCCAGCAATATTTTTCACTGAATCTGCTTCATTAACGAGGGACTGGAACAAAGGAGGAGGATGGAGAAAGGTATTTTTGAGGGAATCAAGGTGAGGGCAGGTGATGGAGATGGCATGGGGGGCTGTGGTTTGCACTGCTGGAGTTGTGCCTGGTCTGGTGGAGAACCCTGCTGTTGTGCATCACACTGTTTATGGCAATAGAACTTGTTAGAAACGGGGCTTTTGCTGAGGCTGTGCTTCCTGGCAGAGAGGGGAAGGCATTTCATTTCTGAATGGATCCTTTAGATGTTTACATGTGTCTTTGGGAGGCCTGGAGATTTAGAGGAAGAGCATGTGTGTGTGTGTTCACAGACATGTGTGTGCTTGTGGAGAGAATCTAGCACCAGAAATGAGGTTGCTTGCTGAAAAATGCCCTTTTTTGATGGGACCCAGAACCTGCTTCAGGGCAGTGAGGAATTACCCCATCCCTCCATCATGCCAGGTGCTGAGCCCTACCTAGTCCCTGTGGCTTCGGCACCTGGGTCCAGCCAGAGCCACCAGCAGCTCCCCCTGGCTCTCTGCTGTGCTGTGGGCATGACGTGAGCTGCAGAGCCCATCATCTCCATCCTGCTTTGTCAGAACAGATCCAGGAGTCACTCGGTGAGATCCAATGTGGGCAGACGGAGCACGAGAGAGAAGAGCTGTTCTTTTGCAGGCAGCTTGTTCCTACAGGGAAAATGATTCATCCATCAGGGCTGGTCTAATCTGGCGTGTCCAGGCAGTGGGGAGGGACAGCTGTACCCAGCGGGCACTTATCAGGGGTGGCCAGACACTTCCATCACTCCTCAAGTGTCCCCTGCTTGTGGGCATAGCCTGCTCTGCTGAACTGGTGTGGGGGTTTGGGGGTTGCAGTCCCATGTAGCAGGCAGGGAGGGATAGGCAGGGGTCTTTCCTGGAGCTGCATGGGTGGAAAATCATCTGCTGCATGCCACGTGTTGCCTGTCTCATTGTTGCTGCAGGAGGTGGGTAATGAATTATTGCTCTTCCCCTCCTAAAATTCAAAGTTGCTGCTGAGGCTGGCAGTGCTAAGGGCTGGGCAGTGCCTGCCTGTGCTGAGCTGTGCCAGCCCCTCCAGAGGAAGGTGAAAACAAACTTTGCTCCCAGTTGACCCTGAGCATCACATCTGCCCTCTTGTCTGCTGGCACCCCCTGGTCAGGGCCCCCATTGAAGTGATGCTTCTCTACTGCAATGGCAGGTGCAGAAGCAGCCCAGCTGAGCTGCCTCCCTCCCTCTGCCAGCCACATTGTCACCCTGCTCCTCTCACAGGTGACATTTGAACACATCCCTCTGCCCCTGCTTCCCCACCTTCCAGCAAGGTTAATATTTTAACACATTTCATGGCTGGTTCCAGCCTGGCAGCCCCAGCCTGGGTTTTGTGGAGGGTCCTGCATTATGCCAGGCACGATTTTGGAGAGTGTGGTTCCTGTTCCTGTTCTTCACCCTCCTGAGGGTGGAAGGCTGGTTTGTGCTTCCAGATTTTAACTAAAAGTGTGACAAGCTGTCACTGCAGCCCCAGCCTGGGAGCCATGTAGGATGAACCACCTTCTCCTGGCAGCACTCTAGCTCTATGGGGTTACCCCTGCTTAGGATCCAACCCCAGGGTCTCCTCTGAAGCACCCAGGGCATCTGTATCTCCTCACCTTCTCCCTTCAAGGATGTGGGAGCTGGAGAAGGGTCTTGTGGTTTGGTGGCCAAATGGAAATGCTAGGAGGGAGGACAGGGGCACAGTTCTGCTTGCAGTCTGCCTACAATGAGAAACCCCTTGGCAGGACTAGATGGGGCTGAGTTGTCTGGGTGGGTGATGGAGGAGTTGTTATGAGTGATTGCTTTTTTTTTTTAATTTAAATAATTTTCTCTACTTTAATAAACAGCATTTTTGGTTAGTAAATAATATGCTCTTCCCCTTCCCTCATCTCTCCAGCAGAAATATGTGCCCTTATCTAATATAATCTGCCTTTCTCACTCCCTCACTTTGGAGAAGCTGCAAATTCTGGTGGGAACAGAGTGCTAATAGAAAAGAGCCTGTAAAGATATTTGAAACATGACCAAGAAAGGACAGAGGGAGATTCAGCTCCAAATATGCTGGAAAATCTAGGAGATAGGCCAAGAGGGGGTGGGGGAAATATCAGAAGCATGTTTGCCAAGAGGGAAAAGTTAATTGGGAAGCATTAATTGGGGTGTAAGTGGGCAGCAGTGACATGGATCTGCTGCACAGGGCAATGGTGCAGCTGGAGGCACCAGGGTGGGCACAGAGCTGCTCTGGTGCTGGGGTAACACGTCTCACAGTAGTGGAGAAGCTGCCCTTCACCTCCATCCCAGTGAGGCTGTGCCAATTTACCAGTTCTTGCTGTTTTTCTGGGGTTCTCCATGCTGAAAATCTCAGCTTCTGGAATCCTGTGACCGCCTGGGAATGTGGAATCTGCAACATCATTACTTCAGGGCTTTAGTTCTTTGGGTTTGGACTCTGGGTAGTTTCAAGCCCTCAGGTTTGCAAGTAAAATTTTGATTACACCCTAAATGCTCAGAGAAGGCAAATTTAAGGGAGAAAAAAACCAACCTACCCATGCAGTGACTGATTTATTTTTAAAATCTCATCATTTTTATGCCTATATATATATATACATATATATATGTATCTATATGTCTGAGTCATGATTTTTTCAAGTGTTTGGTGTTGGCAGGGCTGCGTGTGTGAGTGTGCAGGGGGTGTGTGCAGGGCCCCTCCTCTGACAGGTGATGATGCAGTGTGAATTTGAGGCAGCAGTGCTGTGGTCTTCAAGGGCTGTTGAATGTTCCTTCACCCCTGTTTCATTGCCAAGCACACAGGAAGAAAAAAAAAAAAGAAATAAAAAAAGGGAGACCAGCACTGGACATGGAGTCATTGTGTTGTTTTTTAGGTGGTGGTACAAGAACAAGGGAGATACAAAATGGGAATAAAGTCCCCTGTGACTCCTGGCAATGCCTTAGAGGGTTTTTTTAAGGTCAGAACAGTCAGTGTTTATTTGCAGTTCTCTGTGTATAAAGATCTAATAAATAGCTGTGGAGGTCAAGTCCATCACCATCAGTGACTTGTTCTGTGACCCTGGGTAAAATGCTTTGTCTCTCTTCTGTCAGTGAGAGGGTGGCCAGATCTGCTGCCCAGGATTGGGTTCAGGTATCGGTTAATTTATAAAATGTGCTTTGAAGATGAAAAATCTCTTTGAGCTGCTTCAAGCTCTCAGCAAGCATCTGTGCTCCCTTTGCGGGAGCCCAGCACAGAGCAAAGTGCCTGGATACGTCGTCACACACCAAATCTGCTGTGTGTGCAGCTCCGAGGAGCAGCTCTGGGAGCTTCCCAAGGCTTTCCATGGCTGTTGAATTCCTACACGTTTCTGCTTCTTGCTTGCCTAGGACAGACATGTGACAGGTTGGCAGTGCCTGGGGCCTTGCAGAGCCACAGCTGAGCTCTGCCTGGCCCCATGGCCCCTGCTCCAGCAACTCTGGAGCCCAGGGATGAGCCTCTGCATTCACATCCCAGTAAGCATAGCTTAGCAGCTTCAGCAGTGTCCCTGGGTGGTACTCAGAGAGACTTGGTCCAGCTGTGAAATGTTCAGGAGTCTTTCTGTTGTGGATTTGTTGTTGTCTAGTATAGGGTTGGATTCACACACAACTCCGAGCTACTAATAAAGCCTCTTAGTTCCCTGTTTGCATGAAAATGGTAGATAATATCTCTGAAACCCCATAACTGGTTGCTTTATCAAGGATGTCAGAGTTATGAAGCAAATTTATTATGTATAGCTTAATCACAAAGCCTTCATTTCCTTGGGAAGGCTCCTGTGACTCAGGTTTGCTAATGGAAATGCTGTGATCTCAGCAGAGCAGCTTTCCTTCTGGCTTGCCCTGCCCGTGCCATGAGCTGCCAGCTCCCTGCCAGCCCTAACAGTGCCTTTTCTCTCCAAGGGAAGAAGCAATGCTGTCCACCTACTTTGAAACCATCAATGACTTGCTGTCCTCCTTTGGGCCAGTCCGAGACTGCTCCCGCAACAACGGTGGCTGCACCCGCAACTTCAAGTGCGTTTCTGACCGCCAGGTGGACTCAACAGGCTGTGTGGTAGGTACCAAGGCTGCTGGTTCCACCAGCTGCTGTCTGCTTTGTAGACAAACCAGAGGGGGACTTCCCACTTGCCTGCTTCCACTCCAGGGATGTGGTCAAGGGGACCTGTGCGCTAGTGGTGGGCTCCTCCCAACCCTAGGAGCTTCATGGCAAATCACACATGCCTGGAGGACCTTAGAGAAGGAGTCTGGGGGCTCAGATGAGCCAAAGAGAAATACTGGAGGCTGATGGTCATTTTTCTGCTTGTCAAGAAAGTACAAGTTAAAAGCAGTCTTGCTTTTTCTCCTGCCTTGTTCTTTCCAGCGTGGGAGAAAGACGAAGCACCTCCCCAACCTCCAGTGTCCTCAGAGTCTTGATTTGTTTCTGAACATACTCATGTCTTGCCAGACAATCTTCTCCCAGTGGTGTTCCCCTCCCTGCCCTCCAGAAGACCTCTTAGACCATTAGTTTTGGGCCCAGACTCGGAATAATTCCCAGCTATCAAAGCACAGAGGAGTTTGACTGTTCTTCCAGGTGGGATCAGCAGAGCTCAGCACCTCTCCCAGCTCTCGAAGCAAAGTCACCCCTTCCCTGCATGTGGAGCTTGTGCAAGTCTGGTACAACACGCAGAGAGTTGGGGGCAGAGCTTTGGGAAACGGGGGAAAACCTAGACAACCCTTCTCAGCTGTTTGTTGTAGGAGCCACCTGCCTGCCAGGCAGCAGGTGGAGACCCCTGGGGTTTTTTTTTACCTGCCCTGCAAACCCACACCCACTGCTCTGAAGATCCCCAAGCCCCTCTGCTCCTTTGCTTCCCTGTTGCAGTGGGCAGAGCCCCGGTTGCACCATCCCTCCCATCTGGGCAGAGGTGGAATTAAGTGTCTCTTTATTGATTGGAGATGTTTAGCCACAGCAGCAGGGAAAGGTCAGGCTGCAGTGGTGCTGTCCCAGGGGTGGTGGTTTCATTATCCCCTTTTCCCACTGCTTGTTAGTGCCATTTAGCACAACAGCCTGATGTCTCACCAGCAGTGCCCAGCATCATCCCCTGCTAACACTCCTCTCCCTTTCCACCTTCCTTTTCTCAACATGGCTTTCTTTTGTTCCCTTTTCCAAGGAACAGCTGGCTTTTAAGTCTTTCAGGAGGTTTTCCCCATTTTTTTAGGGAGACGTTTGCTCTGAACACCAACGTGCCTCCCAGACACTGTCAGAAGCAATTTGGGCTCCAATTGTCCTGTGCTGCTGGGAAGAGATGCCCCTTTTTAAAAGTCAGGATATATTAAGATAGAAATTGTCAATAAATTACAGGCCTAGCACTCACTGTGCTGGCGTGGGGAGAGGTAGAAATTGAAAACTGTGTCACTAGGGGATGATAACCCCCTGATTCTGTAATAGCTGACTGAGGTTTTCTGCAGAGAAGGAACTGTGCACAGCAGGCAGCTGGGGAGAGAGGAGAAGCAGTGGGGGCTGTTCTCCTGGAGGGCATCTCCACCTTGAGAGCCATGGATGAGCAGTGAAACACAGGGACCAGAGGACCCCCTGTCCCCCTGCATCACACCAGGCTGCCAGGGCTGTGCATCCCATAGGCACAGGAGATGGCCACAGGGATGCCTGTCTCCCCTCTCTCTGCTCTTTTCCCCCTTTTGACCCTATTGCAGGAGCATCAGGCTGCTCTGCTCCTCTGCACAGCCCCCAGTCATGGGGTGAATCCCCCCAGTTACCCAGTCTCAGCTGCAACATGAAGACAGCAGAGCTGACCTCCTGGAGGGAGTGGGGACATGGCTGCTGCATTCCCAGTCAGCTCCACATCTCTCCCTGCTTCCCATTGGGGTGAAACCAAGAGCACAGTGCTCCATCCCTCCCAGCTCTCCCAACCCTGTACAAAGTTTTACCCTCATCACCTGCTTGTAGGTGCCAAGCAGTGGCAGGAGTGGGAGCAGAGGTTTGCAGGACACTGTCCTGTGTTTCTGACCATTGTCTGGGGAAAAGCCTAAGGGGTGGGCAGGCAGCACTGCCTCCAGCCTCGTGCTCATGCCTCTCAGTGGGGCTGCACATGGTGGGAGCTGAATTTCGGATCATGCTGCAGCCTCAGCATGTGACCTTGTGGCACCTTCTGCACCGGTCCCTGCACTGGGTGATACAGGCCCTCCTCATCCCAGCCCTGCTCCTGGGGTCTCCTGGCTGTGAGCTGGTCTTCCCGTGCCAGCAGGGATGGGGTCACTTGCTACACATTTGCAAGGATGTCAGTTAGTTTTAAAGCTGAACTGCCATGAACTGAGTTTGCCAATTTGATAAGTGCTGTGGGCAATATCAGGATGTAATTTAATTAAGCCATCCCCTTTTATAGAGTTCAGGGAGTATTTGCCTACTAATTTTAGCACTAGGTTTGCTTCAGCTTTACTTGGGACACTGTTTCACAAATCCTGACATGTTGTTAATCTTTACCAGTCAACAGTTTATTAATTTGCTGAGGACTACAGAAGTATATAATCAGTGGTTCATCAATCAAGGCTAAATCCAACAAACGTTCCAGGCAGGTACTGAGCATAAAATACACATGGAGCCTTGTAAGCAATTAATATACAGCAGAGCTGGAGCCTTGCAGCTCAACCAGGGAACAGCACAAATCTCAAAGATTTCTTATTCTTTTTATGTATAATCATCATTTGTTACCAATGCCTTCATGACCTTAATACAGCTTCCAGTAATTCTGCTAGGACTGAGGATGTATTTATCTTTGGGTTCTTTAGCTGTGTGGGCTCTTCCATTACCTAATAGTTTGGCCTTAAAAGGCCTTGGTTCAAAAGTCAAGGGCAGTTGCTTGCAGCTTGTGAGGGAGTCTTGAAGAAGAAAAGAGGACATCTCTTTGCTTAGTTAAAATCCTGCATGTGAGGTGTCACCTTGAAGACCCCAGTGGCATCTTCACCCAGAGGGGTAACAGCTCCCCAGCTTCTAGCCCACGCTTCCCATGGAGCCCTTTTCCCCCCTCATCTCATGGCTTTTCTGTTACTTTTCAGTGTACCCAGTAGATGGCATTGATGGATAAAGTTTTTCCACAGTTCTTTTCTTATCGGAGGCATTTTTTATTTGGGTAGTCCCAAGAGGTGTGAGCTGTAACCTTGCTAAGACTTTGGCACTGCTAGCTGGAGCCTTGCCTTGGAGCCCTACCTTACAACATAGCAAAGCAATTCCCAACACCTAGAAAACCTGTTTTCATGCTGCTTTTCTTTGTTACATGCTAGAATTGGGTGGTGAAGTACTGGAACAGGTTGCCCAGAAGGGTGATGGAGGCTCAATCCCTGGAGACATCAGGAGGGGTTTTGGTAAGAGGTAGGAGAGCCCACTGGGCAGGTACTGCTGCTCTGCATGGACATGAGACCCTGCTGATCTTCACCATCTCCCTGCTTGCAGGCTGGGGTTCCTCTGGCACTGATTTCTTGCTAATTTGAGCTTTGCTCCAAGCATTTTATTGACCAGTCCTCTTCCCAAGCAGGGGCTCAGCCTGTCAGACAGGAGCTTGCCCAGCTCAGCAGAAGGGTGAGCATCTACCAGAGAGTCTCTTAATGAAGTTGTGGCCCATGGTGACACCAGTACAGTGTTGATCCCAGCCTTTTCAGAGAAGGAAGGGAAATTTGGCACAGTTTGTGTGGGCACGTAAGCTTGTTGGAGCTAACCTTCTCTTTTTCTCTCTTCCACATCAAAAAGAGGGGCTGTTCCTTAACTCTGCAGAACAAGACAGAGAAAAAGGCTGAATTTAAGAGGAACTGTTTGGGGAAGAAATGGGGTGTTTCAGCCCAAACCAAAATGCTGTGCAGAAACCTCCCACATATGTGAAAATTCCAAAACCATTTGGTTTGAAACATGTCCCACGAAGGAGGGGGAAATGTTTAATTCCAACATGCATCTGGATCTTTATGTTACATATTGTGTTATCCCAGTGTACAGCCTGAAATAAAAACCAAATTAGGCAGCAGAAAACAAAACATTTCAACCTTGTCAAAATTAAACGCTCCCCTCATTTCCCGATGAGTTTTGCGATGTAATTGATGGAATCCCACAAAGCATTTTAAGCTCCATCAAATCTGCATGTTTCTGACAGACAATTGTTCATTGAAAAATAAAAACTCATCTGTCCCTGCCTTAGGAGGCCCCTAGCTAATTATGCTAGAGATGCACACGCAGGGGAGGGCGATGGGGAGGAAACTGTTCTTTTCTAATCCCTTTAAAGTTTACTTGGCTCCTTGAAGCAGAAGATTATTCCTTTTGCATATTGTGATTGGAAGCAGCAGCTCCCTGAACTCAACAGCAAACCCCCCTTCCCAAAAAGCCTGCAGTTTCACATTGATCTCATTAAGCCAGGTAACTACCTGTGATGAAAATGGGGTTTGAGGAAGAGAGGGAAGCAAAGGATGGCAGAAGCCCTTGGGACCTGTATCTGGCCATGGCAGGGAGTGGAGAGGAAAGTGAGAGGTCACCACCCACCTGCTTTTGCTTCCAGTGCTGCTAGAGGGTTTGTACCATGTTGGCAAGTGGTGGTTAAATTTAAAGCAAGTGGAATAGCTCAGGAGCACCAAGGTGAGCTGGACGTCCCTGCCTGCTCTGGGAAGAAATATTTGAGGGGGTGATAAAAGCTTTGTTTTCTCCAGCATTGGCTTTTTCAGCAGCATTCTTGGCTGGCATCACTCCTCATCCCTCTGCTCCCCAGCAGAGTAGGGTGCTTCATGTGTGGTAGTCACAGCTGGGTTGAGTTCATGGGATGGGTCCTAGGATATGAAGTGTAACATAGTGGTCAGAACGTAACCTGGATGTCAAGTGGGGCAGGAGTGGAATTCCTGGTCTCCCAAAGGTTTTTGGAAGTGTCAGCCTCTGCTGTGGCTGGAAAAGGGAATATCCCAATGGGCATGAGGTTCCAGCACACTCCAAAACGGGTTGTTGGTGACTCCTGGAAGGGAAGCAGCTGGAAGGTTTCTGCTAGCTTAATTTTCCTGCTCTAGGAGCTCTGAACATTGACATCTGTGTATGTA